CACCAAAAAAAAAAAAAAAGAAGAAGTCTGCTCCTACTAACTGCTGGCAAGATGCGGATCAACACAAATGAGTGTGAACTGGTGCAGCCACAGTGGAAGACAGCTTGGCATCGTCTTACGGCAAACATTTGAACACCCGACAACTCAGCAGTTATATGCTTAGGTGTATTTCCTAGAACAGTACTTCTAAACTTCTCTAATGACAAGAACAATCTGGAACACTTTTTAAATATCACGCTTCCTGGGCCTTTTCTCCAGAGATTCTGATTTGCTGGTCCTGTAATGAAGCCACAGTATTTGAATCTTTATGAAGCAGCCCTAGTGATTCTTACCTCCAGAGAAGCTTGGGAAACACAGCCTAGAGCCCTGCTACTCAAAGCCTAGTTCTCGCAGCGGCAGTAGTGGCACCACCTGGAAGCTCATTAGAAATGAGGATGCTCAGGCCCCTCCTCTGACCTCCTGAAGCCAAATCTTCATTTGCACATTAAAGTTTGAGAAACTCCAGACATAAGGGAGTGTTTTTCAGAGCACAGGCTGGGTCCCTAGGTCTTATACTCAGACTAGCATTTGTTCTAAAGAAAGAGAATAGAAACTAAAACATTAGAATGCATTTGAGGTTGGAAGGTGAGGACTGTATTGTGCAATTTTTGGTTTAGGTATATATACACACTCTCTTGCAAATTTACAGGTGTGTGTATAACTGTGTCACAATGTGAAATATATTTCATACTGCAGCAAAAGAGTGATAACACATTCCTAGAGAAGTTATTCCCCAGGGGCACCAGGAGATATGTACACAAATGTTCTTAGCAGTATTGTTGACAAAAGAATAAGAAAGAAAATCGTGGAAACCACACAAATATCTACAGACCAGAAAACAGATAAATATTCATACGATGGAAAATTATACTCCTGTATAGTGAAAATGAATAAACCAATAATGAATCTCAGAAACAGAGAATTGAGTGAAAAACTCAAGTCAGAGAAGAATATTATGATACAACTTTATAAAACTGAAAAACAAGCAAAAGTGAATTAAGAACATATATATGTGATAAAACTATTTTAACAAAGTAAGAGAAGAGCAAAGAGAAAATTTACATGGAAACTTAGGATACTGGTTACCTCTGTCCTGGAAACAGAGGGATAAAATGGGAAGCAGGCAGTTAGATGCAGAAGTTCTAAGGATGTTCTATTTCTAAGCTGAGGAGCCAATTATTGTTACGCTGCACAATTTATGTAGGTTACATATATGCTTTTGTTAATGCAAATATTATATAATAACTTCAAAAAAAGATTATCACAGGGAAGGCATGAATATCCCAGAAGCATTGTTGGCTCTTTGAAACTTCCTTGCCAAAAAGTAGCCTTTGATTCCTTTCAATCTTGGTTCAAAATCACTCTCTTTTATGACTATTACTTATTAAAATAAAAACTCAAGAGACTTTCATTGACCCACATGGTCAAAATCCTAATGTTCATACGGTGGTTTTGTTTCTACTTTTGTGTGTGTGTGTGTGTGTGTGTGAGAGAGAGGAAGATTAGCCCTGAGCTAACATCTGCCAATCCTCCTCTTTTTGCTGAGGAAGACTGGCCCTGGGCTAACATCCGTGCCCATCTTCCTCCATTTTATATGGGACGCTGCCACAGCATGGCTTGACAAGTGGTGCGCTGGTGTGCTCCCGGGATCCGAACCTGTGAACCCCGGGCCGCTGCAGTGGAGTGCGCACACTTAACCACTTTGTTTTATTCGTGCTCTGTCACCATCAAGTTCATTAAGTACTGATCCCATGTCTAACATGAATGCTTTATCCTAGAAGATGCCTATATTTGCTAATCAACACATCTGACAAAAGGATACTAACAGAATAAACAGCAAGCATCTTGCTTAGTTCTTGTGTTTTCATAAGTCAATTCAGGAAACATCTTTTCTCCAGTACTTACCAATTTTCTACAAAAAGCATTTCCAAGTTCTGTGTTGTGACTTGCATCTCTGTTTTACTTTACTGTGTTAAAGAAATCACACAGGCACTATAAACACGGCTTCTAACAACCACGGGAACAGTCTATTTTTGCCTCAGTTCCTTGGTGACATTTCCAAAGCGTAAAGTTCATCCCCGTAGAAGGAACACTACTGCCATACAGTAAAATTAGAATCTTCAATTGTTTCCATGCACTAGCATGAACAAATTGCAATTCATCCTAGAGATGAACTTTACAAGAAACTGTTGTATGAAATAAAAACGAGTCTGCAATAAAAGGCTTGGTATTTGTTTCAGACTATATAAAATAGGAAGAGGCAAAATGATTTTCACAGAGTTTTTCAGAACTGTCAAAAATTGGTTTGGAATGCGTTTTGACCTTCTCTACCCCTGATAAAGCTGTGAAACTCACAAAAAGCCCTGGATGTCGGGATCTGATATTTTACCCAGAGCAAAAGGATACCCAAACCGTTCACTCTTTGTTACAGAAGTAATGTAATCAGTGTCGGAAGAAAGCAAATCAAATACACTTTACTTTCACCTATAGGAACCATTCTCTCTAGTTGATACTAAGCAGATAAATGTTATTTAAAACGTGTTTACCTGTTCAGATCCTCGTACTTTGGTATTTACAATCTTTTTATGATTAAATAGTTTCCTGCTTGAAGTTCTTTATGAGTCTGGGCAAATGGTTTCACAAAAGACCACACTCAACTATGCTAGATTGATCGCTATACTATAATTATTCTTCTGTGTTTTCATCAACAACTTGTTTTAAAAAGAGCTTTCCTCAATTTAAAATCACATACGACTGATAAGTTTGTATTTAATAACCTAAGTTTTCCATGGTTCTAATCTTCCAGGGAAGCATAGAGAATGAAAGGGTAGAAAACTCAGCTCTAGAAGGACTGCACACTGCCAGCACCCCACTGAGGACTGTTAATAGAGGACAGAAAGAAGGATCACCACAGGAAGAAAGGAACCCGTTTCTTTTACTTTGAAAAGGTAAGAGAAAAAACAAAGGTTCTAACTTGAAACTGTTTCTGTTCCCCTAAACAACAAACAACTTAAAAAAAAAAATTGCTGTTTTTTAGTGTAGTTTACCGCTCTGCTGAATTATCTCCAGATTTTGCTATCAGATTAGCACCATTTCAGCATCAATTTTACCCTAACAGTAGTTTTTGTGTGAGATTAACTTCATTTTCCCACCTTTCTGACTTTGCAGTGTTACTTTTCTAACCTTTCAAATGTTACGCCTAAGGTAATATGAGAAAGCTCAATTTTTTAATTTGAAAAATAGAAAGGCAACGTGGATTTTTTTTTCCTGTTTTCCTGAAAGCCAGAAAATCAATCAATTATTTATTGAAGATGTACTGATTTATAGTTATTTATTCCAACATTCTTGCAGGCTTGTCATCTGCTCCATATCCCTTTTAAGAGTAGTCTATTACATTTATTTATAAATAACTACCCCAAACTTCTCCTTCAAATGAACTCTTATCCCCAATCTCATAGCACTCAACTGGAAAAAGCTCTAGCCATCCTCATTTCCACATTCCACAAAGATGAGCAAGGGCGGGGTCACACAGCCCCCAAGAACCCCTTGTCATTTCACGCATTGACCTCACCCCCCGACCTCCCCAGATTCTGACATTCAGCTGTCTCAGGGGAGGGCAGGGAGTGTGAGGAATTAGGATAATGTGGAGTTTTATAAAGCTCCACAGGTAATCCAGAGACCACCCTCATCCCACCTGGTGAAGAATCTCTGCATTACAAACATGTACATGTATACTATAAATTTAACACCTGGAGAAAGTGGGCTGTGTCTTGGATATACCACAGCACATTTTTGTTCTTAGGTTGCTTGGTCCTATCTTTTCTTTTGTTAACTTATTATGTTTTCCAGGTATCACCTTGTTTAATAAAATAACAAAGGAACTTGTAATAACAACAAGGATAATAAGGATAATAATAAAGATTATTATAACAGCTAATTCCTCACTCAACTTTTGAAAATAAATCACAGTTCACTGATACACATTTCTTTCATTTTTAATTCTGCTTATTTGCCACAGAAACTTAAAAAAAAAAAAAAACTGACAAATATGCTCCCTTGAATATTGCTTAGAAGTGGCTTAAAAAATGGAATATATTAAATAATCTTATGGTATTAAATAACTTTATGGTAGATCACTCATTTGCCATCTAGTGTTCAGTTTAATTAAAAATACTCATGATTCTTACTATCTTGAAAATTAGACTTTTTCATGAGGATCCACGATAATTCTAATGCGTTACTGATATAACAAACAGTAAAAAATATCAGCTTTTTTCATCCTTTCTGAAGTTGAATTATTAGCAAAGAATAACGTCTTCCAAAATTAAAAACAAACTTTCTTTGGGGTTAGTGCTCATGTTCCTGCATTTCTAGACACTTTCTCACTAATCCCTTGCAGCAAGAGCCCATGGTGAATCAGATGCAATAGGCTCAAACCCAGACGGTGTGAGGAGGCGGCCATGCTTAGCTTTGACATGGAGGTCCAGAATCTAGATTCTGAGGAGAGCCGTTTAATATGATCACATCTATGCTTTGAACATCGTGACCTGACAAAGTCAATTTGCCACACTGGGGATTCTGAGAGGTGCTAGGTCCTGAAACTAGATCTCCTTGTGGGGTTGAAGATGATGGAATACAATCAATGGAGACTGTGGCAAAAGATAATAGATTGAGGCAAGGAAACCTCATCATAGAGGACAAACAGATGCACAGACTGGGAGTCTTGGTGATAAATAATTACTCTTCCTCCCCAACTGCCATCACCTGAAGATGGGGCCCCAGTCCCCCGGCCTCTGTGGGAGGAGCCTAACCTGGATGAGTGCCAGCTGGCAAACCCAGATGGGTGACACACGGACCCACACAACCTTCCCGCTTTGTGTAATTTTTTTCCCTCCCTGACTCTGGTGAGCCCCTGCTCACCCCCTTCCCTACTCCTTCATTCTCCCTTTAAAATGCCCATCACCTCTGAGCAAATCCAAGCTGAGTTTAGTTCATGTTGGACACGTTTTCCTCTTGCAACAGTATATTTCTGATTAAAATATGTCCTCACCACTTTAACTAGAGTCTGGCTCTGTCTGTCTTTGGTAGAGGGCAGGAGAGGGAGGGGTTGGGGAGGAGGTCCTTTCCTCTCCACGGAAACATCAGGAGTAGAGGATAAGTACTCCCCCACAACACGGATAATGTGAAAAAGAACTGGGAAAAAAAAAAATCTAAATAACATAACAAAAAAAAAAAAAAAAGAAAATCAACATAGTACACACAAAGCTTATTTCTAACGTAAATCAGAAGAGCAAGCATTTATTATGAAGACATTACCATAAGACCAAATAACAGAGACAGGGCAAAGACATTCCAGGTGGAGGGGACCACATGCATGAAGACAAAATGTCAGATGATCACATGACACAGCTCTTCAGCCAACTAAAGCAGTGACGTCAGGGTAACATTAGGAAATTCTGCCAGTGACTAGCAAAGGTCCTAAGTGCTGAATGGGACCCAGGGACAATATTAGGCATATTATTAAGAAGGAGGGTCAGGCACTGCAATAGGCAGGTGTCTAGTTGCTTGACATGGGGTATAAGTTGAGATCTAATCTGTTTAGTTGTCACCGGGGTAACACGAAGTTATAAGGCAGCCAGAAGCAAAATGACCAGGTGCTTAGCCACACGTCCTCCTCAAATCTCCCCTCTGTGAGGCCCGTAAAGGAGCCAGGATTAGGCCTGCATGTGGGCTCTAGCAGCCCCCGCTGTGGGGAGAGGAGCTCTGAGGAGCCTGTGAAGCAGACACCGGTGACTAGCCTGTTGGCAGCAGAGGGATGGACTGGAGAAGAGAAAGCCTGGAGGAAAGGGCACGAGGCTGGCGTTCTCACTGGAGCACCATACTGGCAATGGTAAACTCAGCCTGTACCAGGAAAAAGGCAATGTGAGAGACATCTTGGAAACAAACCACAGAATGTGGTTGATTACACAGTCAGGGGGGTGGGGATGGGGGTGGAAGGTGGGACAAGGGACAGGAAAAAGACAAATAAAAAAAGACTCAAATTGTAGGCAGTCTTGCCAAGACAGGGAAGAGAGGGAGAAGAGGCTGGTGGAGATGTATCTGACTGTTTGCTACTTGTGTGACATCCATGAAAGACTACCCCGCATGGCATTTAAGGTAAATCTGAAGCCCAAGGTCAGAGGTGGAGAATTTGGATGTTATGGGACTGTTCAAGCCACTGACATAGATGGTGGTTCCAAGGAAAAGTATTTAAAAATAAGAGAAGAATATTGGAAATGACTATATTAGCTGAACTTCATTTTATGCTGATTTTATGTTTTTCCTTTTAAGATTCTTCAAGGCATCTGCCCTCCCATATGAAACTGACAGTGTTAAGATATTAAGAGCTATAATTTTTAAACCATTCATTCCCTGATATATGCCATTTTCAATATATTATTTTACAATAGGTTTTACTTGAATTTTAAAAGAAGATAAGTTTTTAGTCAAGTAAAGAATTTTCAACTCTGAACTACAGCCAACTGGTATTTGGATTTTTATATTTGGTACATACTTAATAGTTACACATTTTAGAGAATGCTTCATTTAAATTCTAATGTATTTTAATAAGGAATGAAAGAAAATATCAGCCAGCATATTTTTTTTCTTAAATTACCCCTAGTGCTTGATTACTGCTCCACAATCAAAATCACGTCTTAAATATGAATGATACAAAACAAGACTCCAGCCTGAATGTCTAACAGAGAGATTTTCGCTGCTTGTTTAAAATGACATACCTAGCTATTCAGTAGTCACTTTATAATAACCCCTTTCATTTCCAAATCTACTTAGCCATCAGGCAGCAGTGAGGAAAAAGCTGGCAGCAGTTTTTACAACTGCACATTAGTTTTACATTTCATGACAAGCTAATTCTAGAGAGTTCTAAAGAGAGACAAGCATGGGTCCTTGTGATTTTCTTTCCTTTGCATGAAGGAAACGTGTCTAGCTGCTAAATGAAAGATAAAAGACTACAGACATACACTTTTCACTTCACCCTTATGTCAGTGACAATTGCCCCAGTGCACCTCAGTGCCATGGTACCTATCTAAGTCAACAAAAAGCAACTAGGCTGACCATTACCCTTCAACATGAGCCAAAGAGTTCTACTGCAGGGGTTCAGAATCCCAACCACAACTGGACTAAATCATAGTATGAGGCTCAGGTCTTCATAAGAGGTCCCAGGTTTAAATTCTGCATCATCCTAATGCAGAACTTCAGCTTATACAGTTTATAAGGCAGAACAGATAACCACTCTGTACCCGAAATGACAAATATGCTTGGCCATTTTAAATTTGGTCATACAAAAGGCATTTCGATGCAGACTAACTCAAGGTCATGCCTTTTAATGATGCCTCTAATTAAATTCAAAACCCCACTGAGTGTCAAATGTATGTCTCTATAGCACTAAATAGCTGAAAGAGTAAACTGGCTTCAAAGCATTAGTTAAGCCAAGCCATGATCCACACCTAAGCAATACTATAAGCTCTTGGTTTAAGCTTTTAAGGTTGCCATGAAAATTACCTGGTAAGATGATAAACCACGGTATAAATCTCAGATTTGAGCAGCTCCATCCTTGCCAGGGAAACAGAAGCACAGATGTTGTTTATAATGTACAAAAATAAATGGGATATGCTATTTCATACATTAGTCTGAAGAAGATGTAGCAGGACGTTCTTGCTATCACTGCGGTCTACTGCTGCTGACAGACTCCATTAATTCAAAATCATTATCCCCAACGATGTTAGCTAAATTGAGAATTTAAGATAAGACTTTACTGAACCAAAGTGACAAGTCTGAGTGACCATATAAATCCACGCTAAAGGTATGCTATCAATTAATGCTACGTGGCTAAATAACAGAGTTAATTTTTTTCTAAACAGATATATTCTGATATGTGTAATCAACCTGAACCAAGGAATGTAGAATGAAATCAACTTTGGCAAATTAATTCTCAAAGGCAGGAATTAATAAATGAAGAATATTCCCCAGATCAACCGGTGAAATAAACTTTGAACTGCTCCGTGCATTCAGGCGCAGAATAAACAGAAATAGCTCTCTCACCAAGCAATTACACATTAACTATTTTAAACATCTAGCAACAAGACAGAACAGAGCACAGATGTGAAAATGGAAAAACTTGAGATTAAAAGGTAACAAATGAAAAGAAATTCACTTTTCTGTTTTGACCTAATCTTATTCTTTTTATATTTCCCCATACAACCAATCCATATCATTGTTCTCAAAAAGCCTGTGATTCTTTTCCTTTAAATCCTATCACTACCAATGACCTTAAACTATATCTTATCTCTCAACTCCAAGTCAGCTTTTGGTTGACTTGCTACATAATTTAATAATAGCACACATACTGTTAGCCCAATGCACTCTTAGACTTAACTGTACCCAACCACAATACACGAAGCAGGAGTACCTTGCTCCGGACCTGGGGAATTACCCAAGTACAAAAATAATTCTGAAGAGGGGGGCAGGGGCTGGCCTGGTGGCGTAGTGGTTAAGTTTGCGCACTCTGCTTCAGTGGCCTGGGATTCACAGTTTTGGATCCCAGGCGTGGACCTACGCACCACTTATCAAGCCATGCTGTGGCAGGCGTCCCACATATAAAGTGGAGGAAGATGGGCACGGATGTTAGCCCAGAGCCAATCTTCCTCAGCAAAAAGAAGAGGATTGGCAACAGATGTTAGCTCAGAGCTAATCTTCCTCAACAACAACAACAACAACAAAAAATTCTGAATGGGAACACTGTTTGGGTGAGAATGAGGAGAGCAAGAGTCATGCTTGGCTGCCATACATCAAAACACGTGGGACATATTCAGAGAAAGCACGCCAGCCAGCACCTGCCCACTTTTCATGAGCTAAAATGCACTGCTCTGAGTTATGGCTGAAACCTGGAAGATGGGTTGCTCATGAGGCTAAAACTAAAAGAAGTGATAGCAGTGGGTAGCAAAGACTCCACATCATCATCACTAGGGCTCTAGGGCAAGAGGAAGTTGAATTGAGTTGGGGAGATGGGAGAGGTTTTCAGAGCCTGGGGAATCTGTACAAGGAAAACAAGTGGTCAGGTGGGGGAGGGGTACCCACACCGTAGGGATCCAACCACCAGTTCAGGGGGAAATTATCCACCACAGGTTTCATTTTTTCCATCTCAAAAAATGACTTCTTCACTAAAGCTATGAATGAAAAAGATTTAAATTACTAACCCTAATGTTCTATCAGCTTGTAATATATCCCGTTTGCAATATATCCAAGCAGGTTTTTTTTGAATTGAGACCTTCAGTTATTATTTTTGACCAGAGTATGGGTATCCACAACTATGGGAAGATCCTTTCAATAATCTCCAAGTCTCAAGACCTTCTCTAGCCTTACCTCAATTGCCAACTATCTCTGAAAATCTTCTGTCCTGGAAAAGAATCAATATGGATCTAACCTATATCAAATAACACATTTTAAATAATAACATTAAAGATAATATCTATCATTTTTGAATACTCATGTTCCAAGCAGTATTCTAAGCAGGTATACATACATATTTTTTAGCAAAATTATTAATTAAACATAGAAGAAATAACTCTAAAATTACACTTAAACTTTGTAGAAATATAAGATCAAGATCAAACCTCCTTTAATTTAAATAAGGAAGCAGAATTGAACAAGTATAAAATTGTTGAGAAGAGAAATATAGTAAACTGCAATAGTTCCTCGAACTTCTTATGAGGCTTCATTTCTTCATGGATGGTTTATATGCATACAAGATAATATACAAGATTTAACGGGTATTTGCAACACTGACAACTGCATTTTATTAACTTCAAAGGCTGGCTTCTAGACAATAAATCTGGTGTGCTCTAATAATGCAGGTATTAAAAATCTGCTACTTCAGAATTATGAATTTGGTAATTACTTCTGAGTTGCACGAAATCATAAAATGTACCAGGTTTTCTTTAACATGATTCTACTAAAAAATAAACTAAAAAAAGTAGTTCCAGTTATTTATTAGTATTAAGACCTTTTCAAGATGTCACAAAGACATGTTTTACCATGGATTATGTTCCTAGAACTCTCTCTAGCAAATAGCCTATTTCTGGCTGTGTGTATAACTTGAATCACTTCGCAGCTTCCCAGAATTAAAAGGGGGGAGGAAGGGAGACTTGCCTGATAAAAAATCCGGAGGCTGACTAAATGGCTACTGGAAATACTACTAATATTGTGACAATATTATGATTAGAAATGTGGCTACTTCCTAAAAATTCAAGAAGCTAACTGCAGAGGGGAAAAAAAGACAGAAAGCTAGTGTGTATTTCCTAAAACTGTGCAGGCTCCTTTCCTCCCTCTATCCACGCAGCTGTTTCCCTCCTGCTAAAACAAACGAAAATTTGATTAAGGTGACAATTAACCTTATTGTAAATTCCAGAGATGTTATCAGAGTCTGGTGGAAAATAGAAGAGTCACACTTCTCTTTGTATCCTAAAGACTCCTAAGTGGTATTGGGGGGAAATCTTCAGTCATTCGGTGAACAGTGAGTGACTGAACACGTATCATGAATTATAAGGGTAAATAAATATCAAGAATACAAGGAGCTAGGAGTCTACTACATCAGTCATACATAAATAGTTTCAATACAGAGTAAGAATTTCAAAACTAGACCCATGTTCTTTCAATGGTAGCACCTAAGAGGGAAAAAGCCCCAAAGGTATTAACAGATAAACGTCAGTGATCTTGAGCTAATACAAAACAACACTGCTCTGGCCTCAGGACTGTTCCAGACACTTCTGGGACATGTGGGCTTCTCCACTTGGTCTAGCACTATCCCAGACCTCCTCTTCCTCAGATTAGAAGGCCATCACCACCCAATTGACACTCAGCCTTTAAAAAGCACCTCAGAATTAAATGAAGTAAATATAACCCATTTAAAAGTTTTACAAATTTGAAGTGAACTGAGAAAAAAAAATCAGAGAATTAGAACCTAAAAAGATGTGTGAAACTATTATATTAGAGAAGGTGTACGTATGGAGTGGAGAATTCAGACTGCTTTATTTACATATACATTTAACTCCTTTCTCAAAATGAGAAATTTAGTACCTCAAGGGAAATGGGTATTTTTCAATAACTGCAGTGAACTAAATATAGGCTTCTCACACTTAAGATGCTGAATCAGCAATAGAAAAATCACAGTATGCTGCCTCAGTAATTAAATAGTAAAATCATACCTAAAAAGGAAAGAAGAAATTTTCAAAAATGTAAAGAAGCACAAAATACTTTTCCTCATAGGTATGTTCTGAGAGCCTAGAAAATTAATAAAATGTAAGAAACTTATTTTCTAAGTACATGAGACAATGATGTGGTAACTCTAACTAATGAAGGTGTTAAGTGTGAGAGGTACAAAGCTACTATGCACAAAAGCACACACACGTTGAAAAAGCCTTTATCTATTCTGAGAAGACACCTTGAAAAATGGGACTTTTCCCTTATCCTACATGCTTTATTCAATTTCATTTTTTACTTACAATGCCCATATTTTGTCCTGATCACTTATCTGGCTGAAAGACTCACTCTCTTTAAGGTATGTGTTCTTTCATAAAACAAGGAGTTTACAATGCCAGTTCAGAGAAAGTTCTTCAAGCCAAACCCCAGGATTGATAAACACTAGTGAAAGGCAACTTCCTCTGCACTGTAAAGTTGTATCACTGTAGACACAAGGAGAACTATATTTACATTATCATTGCCAATATGGCAATCTTTGAAACGGGATAGCACATATTCAATTTAGGTATACCCATGTTAAATGTGCACTCAGGTGAGGTATCCAGGTAACTCCTCAGGGCTGCTGGAGCTCAGGTAACAGAGGAAGAAATAAGCAAAAGTCAGTACTGCCTAAGAGACATGCCTAGTTCTTCAGTGTGTTAAATCTAACCATAGTTAACAACATCTCTGAGAAAGTTTAACTTTTAATTCATGTATAGTTGAGTGCCCACAAACTGCATTCTGTCAAAAAAAAATTGTGTGATGCACTCAGAATAATAAAGTCACTTTGAAACCAAGTATTTTCCCTTTACCAATTTCGCACCTTAGCCAGTCCCTCCACCCTTGAGGAAAGTATACAGCTAGAGAAACCACTTACAAAAGGAAGTCTTCTACTTACAGCCTGGGTTCCCACTGTTTTAGTGTTAAAAAGGAATAAAGGACAATTTATTACAACTTCCTACCTGATACATGAGTACCTCTTAAAAATCTCTACAAGGTTACTTTGCCTTCTGTCTTAGCATGCATTGCCTCACAGCAGCCAGTTTCTGTTTGGGACAAATATAATGCAGAACATTTTTTCCATTGTGTCAGAACAGCCTCCTTGAATGAACCCATTTTTTCCTTTGAAATCAAACAAAATAATTTTTATCCTTCTGCTACTCAGAAGTATCCTGCCATATGTGAAGGGCTATTATGGTCCCCCAAGGCTTCCTTTCTCACAAACATCACCAATTGATTCAACTTTCAACAGGATATGGCTATTCAATCTGAAACTATCTCTTTTGCTCTATTTCAATAATAGCTGGACTATTTATTCAGTTTTGGCACTCCATTCCTACCTCACGGCGGAGTGAGTTGCTCCCGTTGTCTCTCGCCTTCAAGTTATAACTACCAAGACACCCAGAGACCAACAAAGGATCGTGTGCACAGCACACCAGAATGCCTGAGAGATCCATGCATCTATACATCCGAGGGTGGGTGGACTGGACCTCATGGAGGCGGAGGAATCAGGGGCGCAGGGGGGGCTCCCGAGACTGGAGGCTCCAGGAACTGTGGTAACACCCAGGAACAGAAACCCTAGGAATCGAGGCAGCCCACGCTTCCGGAGGCTCCAGGAACACAGTGGTGCCCATGACCAAGCCCCCTTCCTCTCCCCTGGTGATGGCACCTCCAAACCCAAACCTCCCAGCAGCAGGAGCTGCATCCAAGACCCTAGTGCCCCTGACCTACATTCCAGGAACCACTACAGTGCCTGAGACCAGAGGCTCCAGGAACCGAGGTAGCACCTGCGGCCAGAGGCTCTGGGAATCACGGTGGCACCTGCAAACCAGCCCCTCCTCCTCTCCCAGCAGTGGTGGCAGTGCTTGTGACCTGAGGCTCCAGAAGCCATGGCAGCACCCAAGACCAGAGGCTACAGGAACAGCCAGAGGTGCCTGTGACCCAGGCACTCCTCCTGCAGTGGCAGTGGCAGTGATGAACGATGACCTAGTTACCCCTCCCCTCAGGGTGATGGCAGCGGCACCCGTGACCCTGGCCCACCCAGCAGCGTCACTGATACCTTCAAAACTAGTGACCCTGGCAGCGGCAGTGCCAGAACCCCCAGAAAACCCAGGAGCAGCGGCAGAGGCATCATGTGTGACAGCAGTCCCTGGCTTTAGCAGTGCCCAGGGCCACGGAGAGCCTGGTAATAGCAACAACAGAGCCCAAGAGCCCAGCCCCCTCCACGTACAGCAGTGCCCACAACTCTGGCCTCCCCAACCCATGGCAGCAGTGCCTGTAGACCCAACAAACCCAGATGTGGTAGAGGTGGCCGTGAACCTGGCTTCCACCCCATCCTCCCTGTGCCCCCATCAAGGGGGGGAAAACCACAACCCAGGCAACCCTGGAAGCAGCAAAGGTGCTCGCTGGCCTGGTAACCCCAGTGGTGACGACTACAACCACAGTGACACGGTAAGCAGCCTTGCACGAGCAACCTCAGAGTCATAAGCAGCACAACAAGGGCACTGATGACACCTCTGGCAGAGGTACTAGAGGGCAGAATGTACAGGCTCTCAAATACAATCAGAAGCAGCTCAGATTCAAAGTAAAGAACCGTTACTTAAATAAGAAAGGTGTTTGCTGCCACAAATGCACTAGCAGAGGAACAACTTATCAAGAACCATGAAAAACTACAGTAACATTGTATTAAAAAAGAAAATAACAACTTGATTTCTCCAGAAACAAAATTAGAAGTCATGGAAGATTGCAATCTAACTGACAGAGAAATCAAAAATAGCTGTCATGAAGAAACTCAACGAGCTATAAGAAAACTCAGAAAGACAGTTCAATAAGCTCAGATATAAAATTAATGAACAGAAGGAGTACTTCACAGAAGAGACTGAAACTCCAAAAATGAACCAAACAGAAATTCTGGAGCTTAAGAACTGAATAAATGAGACGAAGAATAAAGTAGAAAGCATTGAAAATAGAGCAGACCATATGGAAGAGAGAATTAGCAAGCTCAAAGATAGAAATCTAGAATTGATTCAGGTGGAAGAGGAGAGAGAACTAAGATTTTAAAAAATGGAGAAATTCTATGAGAAATATATGACTCAATTAGGAAAAACAATATAAAGATAGTGGGGATCCCAAAGGAGAAGAGAGAGAGAAGGGAGAAGAGATGAGAACTTCCCAAACCTGGGGAAGGAACGGGGTATACAAGTACCTAAAGCTAATAGAATACTCAATTATCTCAATGCAAAAAGACCTTGTCCAAGGTACATTATATTAAAACTATCAAAAGTCAATGACAAAGAAAGAATAGTAAGGGCAGCCAGGGATAAAAAAACAATAACAATAACAATAAGGTACCCCTATTAGACTATGAGCAAATTTCTCCACAGAAACTCTACAGGCCAGGAGAGAATAGAATGATATATTCAAAATATTTAAAGATAAAAACTATCTGCCAAGAATACTTTATCTAGGAAAGTTATCTTTCAAATATGAAGAAGAGATAAAGGCTTTCCCAGACAAACAAAAGCTAAGGGAGTTCATCACATTAGACTTACCTTACAAGAAATCTTAAAAAGAACTATCCAAGAGACAAAAGTTTACAAAGCTTCAAGCAAGGTGATAAATAGACAGACAGAATAGAAAATTGGAACTCTATATCAGAATAGGTTAGTAAAAACTTACTTATAACATAAAGGTTAAAGGGAAAGAAAGCATCAAAAATAACTATAGCCACTTCAATTTGGTGATGAACTCACAATACAAAAATGGATAATTTGTGACAACAAAAACATAAAAGGGGAAAAGGAAAAGGATGGAACCTGCATAGGCAAATGGAGATAAGATGCCATCAGCAGAAAATGGACTATCTCATCTGTGAGATTTTTTATACAAACCTCATGGTAACCACAAAACATAAATTCAGAGCAGAGTCACAAAACATTAAAAAAAAGGCAACTGAAAAACACTTCACAGAAAACCACCAAACTGAAATGGCAGACAGAAATACAAGGAACAAGAAACATGGAAAAAGAAACAATGGAAATATATAGCAACCAGAAAACAAAAGATAAAATGGAAGTATTAAGTTTTCATATATCAGTAATCACTCTAAATGAAAAAAGATTGAATTCACCAGTCAGAAGACACATAGTGGCTAGATGGAATAAAAAACAACACCCAACATTATGCTGCCTCCATGAGACCCATCTCAGTTCTAAAGACAAATATAGGCCCAGAGTGAAAGGATGGGGGATGATACTCCAAGCAAATGGCAACCAAAAGAAAACAGGTATAGCCATACTTATATGAACAAAATAGACTTCAAGCCAAAAAAGATAATAAAAGACAAAGATGGACATTATGTAATGATAAAGTGGACAATCCACCAAGAAGACATAACATTTATTAATATATATACACCTAAAATAGGAGCACCAAAGTCTAAAAAGCAATTATTAACAGACCTAAAGGGAGAAATTGACAGCAACATAATAATAGTAGGGAACTTTAATATCCTACTTCCATCAACGGATAGATCATCCAGACAGAGTCAACCAGGAAACATTGGATTTAAATGAAACGTTAGACCAGATGGACTCAAAAGATGTATAGAGAACATTCTATCCAAAAGCAGCCGAACAGATATTCTTCTCAAGTGCACATGGCACATTCTCAAAGACAGGCTATATACTGGGAAACAAAACAAGTCTCAATAAATTTAAGAACTTTGAAATCATATCAAATATCTTTTCTGATCAAAATGGTAAGAAACTAGAAATCAACTACAAGAATAAAGCTAGAAAAGTCACAAATATGTGGAGACTAAACAATATGCTACTGAACAACTATTGGATCAATGAAGAAATCAAAGGAGAAATAAAAAAATAGAGAAATGAAAATGAAAACACAACATATCAAAATCTATGATATGCATCAAAAGCAGTACTCAGAGGGAAGTATATAGTAATACAGGCTGACCTCAAGATCCAAGAAAAATCTCAAATAAACAATCTAACACTATGTCTAAAAGAACTAAAAAAAGAACAAACGATGGCCAAAGTCAGTAAAAGGAAGGAAATAATAAAAATCAGAGTGGAAATAAATAAAGATACTAAAAAGGTAATAGAAAAGATCGAGGAAACTAAGAGCTGGTTCTTTGAAAAGATAAACAAAATTGACAAACCCTTGGCTAGAGTGACTACAAAAAAAGAGAGAAGGTTCAAATAAATAAAATCAGAAATGAAAGAAGAGAAATTACAATAGATACCACAGAAATACAAAGGATTATAAGAGAATACTATGAAAAGCTGTAGGCCAACAAATTGAATAACCTAGAAAAAACAGATAAATTCTTAGAATCAGACAACCTCCCAAAACTGAATCAAGAAGAAATAGAGAATCTGAATAGACTAGTCACCGTAAAGAGATTGAAACAGTAATCAAAAACTTCCCCCCAAACAGAAATCCAGGACCAGACAGCTTCTCTGATGAATTCTTCCAAACACTCAAAAAAGATTTAAGACCCATCCTTTTCAAATTCTTGCAAAAAATTGATGAAGAACCAACACTTCCTAACTCATTTGATGAGGTCAACATTATCCTGATACCAAAACCAGACAAGGACAACACAAAAAAGGAAAATTACACGCCAATACTGCTGATGAACATAGGTGCAAAACTCCTCAACAAAATATTAGCAAATTGAATACGACAACATATTAAGAGGATCATACATCACAATCAAGTGAGATTTATTCTAGGGATGCAAAGATGGTTCAATATCCACAAGTCAATCAATGTGATACATTGATATCACAATCAGTGTGATATTCCTCATTAACAAAATGAGGAATAAAAACCACATGATCTTCACATTTTTCCACAGCAAAGGAAACCATCAACAAAATGAAAAGACAACCTAACAATTGGGAGAAGATATTTTCAAATCACATATCCAAAATATGTAAAGAACACATGCAACTCAACAACAAAAAAACAAACAACTCGATTAAAAAATGGGCAGAAAATCTGAAGAGATATTTTTCCAAAAAAGATATATAGATGCAAACAGGCACATGAAAAGATATTCAACATCACTAATTATTAGGGAAAGGCAAATCAAAACCACACCGAGATATCACTTCATGCCCATGAGAATGGCTATTATTTAAAAAACAAGAAGTAAAATGTTGGAGAGGATATGGAGAAAAGGGAACCCTCATACACTGTTGGTGGGAATGGAAATTGGTGCAGCCACTATGGAAAACAGCATGGCGATTCCTCAAAAAAATTAAAAATAGAACCACCATATGATCCAGCTATTCCACTTCTGGGGTATTTATACGAAGAACACAAAAACAGTAATTTGAAAAGGTATATGCACTCCTATGTTCCTTGTAGCATTATTCACAATGGCCAAGACTTGGAAACAACCTAAGCACCCGTCAACAGATGAATGGATAAAGATTTGGTGTACGTATATATACAATGGAATACTACTCAGCCATAAAAAAGATGGAACCTTGCCATTTGTGACAACATGGGTGGACCCTGATGGTATTATGCTAAATGAAATGTCAGCTGGAGAAAGACAAATACCATATGATGTCACTCAGAAGTGGAATATAAAACAACAACAAACAAACACATAGATACAGAGATTAGATTGGTGGTTACCAGAGAGGAAGGGTGAGGGCGGAGGGTGAAAGGAGTGAAAGGGCATATGTGTACAGTGATGGATGGCAATTAGGCTTTGGGTGGTGAACACAATGTAGTCTATACAGAAGTTGAAATATAATGATGTACACCTGAAACCTAAATGTTATAAACCAATGTTAGCTCAATAAAAATAAAAGATATACACTGAGGTATAATAAATCTATCATATCAAGACTCTAAAATCATTTCAAGTAGATTGTTTCCTCATCTACCTTGAACTTCAATTTTTTTCTAACGAGGCACTTCCTCTACATCCTATTTGCAGATTATTTTTCTTGATAGAGAAAACATATCTGAGAGTTGAACTTTTTGTTCTCTTTTTATTGTCTCTTAATTTTACATCCTTTATTCCAGACACTTATGCACCTCATTTTTCCTTGTTTCTTACATAAACTTTCAAAAGTGCATTTTGCATTCTTGCTTTCTAAATCTCTTCTCTTTGCCTTCCTTCCTTATGCTTACCACGACAAAGTGTGAGAGCACAGGGATCAGAATCAGAAAATGTTGAGTCTGAAGCCAAGTTTCACTGGTTTCCAGTTGAGTGACACTGGGCATGGGGCAACTTCTCTGAACTCCAGCTTCCTTATTTCCAAATTGAGCTAATAATTCCTATTAGAAGGTTATTTTAAGGATTAAGTGAGCTAAAGCACTTACTGCTCCCAGCACAGTACCCAGCACATAGAAAGCTATTCCTAGAAATCTACAAGTGGGTTTTCCCCCATAACTTTATGTTATTACAAAAACAATAGAAAGTCATTGTTCAAAATTTTGAAATACAGATATATAAACAAAGAAAATATGAACCACCTAAAATCTTATTACCCCCAGATATTGAACTCAACATTTTGGGGCATATTATCTATACTTCTTCTATATGTGTATGTGTCTATAATTGTAAAAAACTGGAATCATTCTAAATTGCATATTATAGCCTACTTTTTGTACTTTCAAATCAAAATTTTCTGTGATTAAAATATTTAAAAGAATATCATTTTAAATAGCTGCACAGTATTCTACTGAATATGCATACCAAAATTCATTTAACCAATTCCCTATTGTGGGTCACTGAGAATATTTACAATTTTCAAAATATAAACTTTACTATAGAAAATATTCTTGAAGCTCTCTTTGCCAGCATGCATGATTCCCCTCCCCCCACTTAGATTGTACTTCTAGAAATGGAAATGTTAGGTTAAAGACAGTAAATGTCTAAGAATTTCACTATGAATTGCCAAATTGCCCTCCAGAAAACTGTTCCCTTTTAAATTTCCATTAACAATGTATGACAGTATTTTTTCTAATACCAGGTACTGTAGTGGATTGAATAGTGGCCCCTCAAAAGATATATCCACGTCCTGGAACCTCTGAATGTAACCTAATTTGAAACGAGGGTCTTTCCAGATGTGATTAAGGATCTTGAGATGAAAAGATCATTCTGAACATTGTGGGAAGGCCCTAAATCCAATGATAAGTGTCCTTATAGAAGACACACAGAAGAGATTTGACATAGAGAAGAGAAGAGGAGAGGGCCACAGGAGGATAGAGGCATCACTGAAGTGATTCAACCCAAACCAAGGAATGCTGACAACCACCAGAAGGTAGAAGAGAAATGGAATGTCCTCTAGAAGCTATGGAGAGGGCACAGCCCTGCTGACACCTTGATTTTGGAGTTTTGGCCTCCAAAACTGGTGTTTTATGCCACCAAGTGAGTATATTTGTTACAGCAGTCACAGGAAAGTAATACAGATTTTGGTACCAGAAAGTGGAGTGTTGCTGTTACACACATGTAAAAATGTGGAAGTGGCTGTGGAATTGGATAGTGGGCAGAGGCTGAAAATATTTTGAGGCATATGATAGAAGAAGCCTAGATTTCCTTGAATAGGCTGTTGGTAGAAATATGATTGTTAAAGACATTGTTGGTGGGGCTATAGAAGGAAATATGAAACATGTTATGTGAAACCAGAGGAAAGGCAATTGTTATCTAGTGACAGAAAACTTGGCTGATTCATGTTCTACAGTTGTGTGGAAAGCAGAATTTGCAAGTGATAAACTTGGATATTTAGCTGAGATTTCCAAGTAAAATGGTGAAGGTATAGCCTGGTTTCTCCTTGTGGCTTATAATAAAACCTAAGAGAAGAGAAAAATTGAGGAAGAAACTGTTAAGTCAATGGAACTAGCACTTGATTTGGAAGGTTCTTAGCCTATCCAGATTGCAAAGGATGCTAAAATTAGGCTATTCACTATTGGGAAAGGTAGTCTAGAGAGAGAGCCAAGGGGATGGCTGGATAACATTTTGCTGCAGAGATTATGTGTGTGACTCATGGGTCCACCCAACTATCTCAGTATAAGCTAGCAATACGGATGGGGTTATCCAATTTTTCCTTTTTGGAATGGAAATATCTATCTTATTTCTGTCCCACTATTTTATTTTGGAGACAGATAACTTGTTTTTTAGTGTCACAGGTCTACAAATGAAATGGGGTTTTGTACCAGGATCGATCATATCCAGAGTCTCAGCCATACTTGATTTGGATGATTCAGATGATAATGTTTGGGACTTTTTAGCGATAAAATTTAGATGAGACTTTAGACTTAAATTGATACTGTAATAGGTTGAAACTTTTGGGGATGTTGGGTTAGCGTAGATGTTTTGTGCAAATGGGATGGACATGAATGTTTTGGGGCCAGATGGCGGGCTGTGGTGAGGTGAGGGGTGGCACCCAAAAAGATACGTCTATGTTCTCAAACCTGTGAATATGACCTAATTTGGAAAAGGGGGCTTTGCAGATTAAATTAATTTAAACATCTAGAAATGAATATGTCATCTTGGATTACGTGGGTTAGCCCTAACTCCAAAAATCAGTGCCTTTGTAATAGACACACAGGGAAGATTTGACAAGCAGATGAAGAGAAGGCATATGAAGATGGAGGCAGAGAATGGAGAGATGTAGCAACAAGCTAAGGAATGCCAACAGCCACCAGAAGCTTGAAGAGGCAAGGAATGGAATCTTCCCTACATCCTCTGAAGGGAGCACAGCTCTGCCAACACCTTGATTTCAGACTTCTGGCCTTTGGGCTGTGAGAGAATAAATTTCTTTTCTTTAAGCCATGAAGTTTGTGGTAATCTGTTATGGTAACCAATATCAGGTTACTATAACATAATACAGGTACTACTATTTTTTTTTAAATTGCCAATTTGATATACACCAAAAAATATATCATTTAAATCTGGATTTTTTTCTATTTATAACTCGTGCTAACTTTAACATGTTTAATAGCCATTCTTACTTCTGTTTTCATCAATTGCCTGTTGCAATCCTTTACTCATTTTTTTTTCTTTTTGGTGAGGAAGATCAGCCCTGAGCTAACATGTGATGCCAATCCTCCTCTTTTTGCCGAGGAAGATTGGCCCTGGGCTAACATCCATGGCCATCTTCCTCTACTTTATATGGGAGGCTGCCACAGCATGGCTTGACAAGTGATGCATTGGTCCACGCCCAGGATCCAAACCTTCAAACCCTCGGGCTGCTGAAGCAGAGCGTACGCACTTAACCGGACGCCACCGGGCCAGCCCCTCTTTACTCATTTGTATTGGATTCACCTTTCTCTTATTGATTTTTATGAGCTCATATATATTGAAAATATTATTCTTTTTACTTCTGGTTTGAAATATTATCTCTGGGTTGTCATTTGCCTTTCTTTTTTTATGATTTTTGTATTAAGAGATTTAAAAATCCATACTCAAATCTAGCAATCTTTAATGGTTTTGACTTTGAGATTATGTTGACAAGAATCTCATGTTCCTCAATGCTCAAGAGAACAAATGTATTTACTTGTCCTATTTTTTTAGTACTTCCAAGGCTTCACCTTTTTCAGTTAAGTCTTAATCTATCTTAAATTTATGTTAGTAGAGTGAAATAAATATCTAATTGTATTTTTTTCTAAATGATAATTCTGTTGTCCCAAAACCATTTATTAAATAATTCACTTTTGTTCATCTAGATTTGAAATGCTACTTTTGTAAACTTAATATGCTTGTACTTTCTATTTTTATCCCACTGAGCTGTAATATTTTTATTATAATAACTACACAAAATGTTTTAATATATGTAGAACAAATCACCCTCTCCTGAATGCTTCTGTTTCTTTTTTTTTATTAGTTTCACGTCTATAACTCTCCAAATAATTTTTTAAAATTTTGCAAGTCCCTAAAAGTTATTGGGATTTTAATTGGAATTAGATTAAATTTATAAGTTACTTTTGGGAGAACCAACATCTTTAAAATATGAAGATTTCCTCCATTTATTATAGTATTTCTTGTTAGGTTTTGTCCTAGGCATTGTATATTTTTTAGTAGTACTGTAAATGGAATCTTCTTAATTACATTTTATATAAAGATTACAGGAAAGCTAGGAATAGCAACAAAATGATAAAAGTAAACACTTATATTGTAGTAACCATGTGGTAGGCACTGTTCTACGGCTTTACATATAATAATTTATTTCATCCTCATAACAATCTCCCTTCATACAGATGAGGAACCTAAGGCACAAACATCCGGTAACTTGCCCATGCTTACGTAACTGAGCCAGAATTTGAATTCAGGTAGCCTGGTTCCAGAGTTATTGATTTTTATATATCTTACTTTACAACTATGTATTTTTCTGGACTCTCATAATAGCTTTAATCGATTTTCAGGGGATTCTTCTATATATTCCAGTGAGAGAACACTGAAAAAAAATTGATAATTCCCTTTATTTTCTTAATATTATACTTAATTTCTTCCCCTAATTTATTGAATTGGCAAATGATTCCCTCATGGTGAGTAACTATGACTCATTGTTTACTTTAGGGTATTGATGGCGGTTGTATTTGGCAAGTGTTTTGCACGTTATAAATGCGTCATCAGTCATTCATCTCTTGCCCCTTCTATTTCCTGGTTGATTCAGGCCTTAGTCATCCTTCACTAACTCCAGAAGGAGACCAAGCTCCACTAGCCTAGAAAAGACTGCTGATTTGCAACTTCCAAATTCAACCACAGCACTCTTTTACACCACTTTCCACATCTCCACGTACAAGTGCCAGACACTTGTTATATATAGTCCCTTGATGGTAAGCCACCTATGACTCCTTTGCCTACTTTTTCTCTTCATACT